CCATCCAGTCAGTTCTGACTTTTAGAAACCCTGTACAGTATTTCTGAGGAGCGGCTGGTGGGTTTGAACAGCAGGCCTTGTGGTTCACAGTCCAGTGCTTGTCCTACAGTGCCACACCAGGATTCCTTACAGAGTATTAGAGAATTATAATATATATGCTAAATTAAAAACCAAAACAGTCTGCTTTATCCAGCTGATTTTGATTTTAAGAAACAAAGGGTAAAATGTTTATTTAAGAAGTTCTGGACTATTTATAAACAAGGTGAACCTCTGAATGAGAAGATTGAAAACAATACAATAGATGAAGATAGGTGTGGATAAACTTATACACAGACAAAGGGAGGAGCCAGGGAGAGAGAGCCACCCCTAGATTTTTTGGTGGGAGATTTTGGAGAAAGTGCTATGAATATTTAAGTCCGTTTTCAAAGTTGAAAGGGAAATGTGCACAATAATAGAAATTATTTACTAATACTTAAAAGATGTGTCTCTATTAAATTTTTTAAATGTTCAAATTACGTAACAAAGAGCCTGTTAACTGATGGTGTGTATTTTATTCTTGGGTTAGCCTTAGAATTACTAGCCTTCCAAGGTTGTACTTTTCACATAACTTGATCCGGTTAGTTAGGCTGATTGGTGGCTTTAATGTGATTTGACTGTGGGTCTGAATTCTTCCCAACCAGGACCTTGAACCAAATTCAGTCACGGTCATCTTGCATAGGGCTTTGTGATAGGCCAAAGTGCATTGAAAGAAGTTACCGGCGATGATTTCTTTCTTGGAAGACATATGGGAGTACTGATGGTGTAGTGATTTAGCCCTCAGACACTAACTGAAAAGTTGGCGGTTCATACTGACTGACCAGCAGCTGTATGGGAGAAAGCGTGACAGTTCTGCTTCTTTAAAGGTTGTTGTTGTTGTTGTTAAGTACCGTCAAATTGATTCTGACTCATAGCGACCCTGTATAGGGTTTCCAAGGAGCAGCTGGTGAACTTAAACCACCGACCTTGCAGTTCAAACAACTTTGCAGTCTCACGCATTAGCCCACCGTGCCAGCCTTGAAAACCCCATGGGCTAGTTCTACTTGTCCTATAGCATCACTATGAGTCAGCATCAACTTTTAATTCCATTTTCCCATAAACTCTTTAAAGCCCCCTCATATGGTGTGGTGCTGTGGGCTAATGTGTCAGGCTGCAAATTCATTTGAACTGCAAGGTTGGTGGTTCAAGCTCACCAGTTACTCCTTGGAAACCCTATACACGGTTGCTTTGGGTCGGAATCGACTCGACAGTGCTAATAACAACAACAACAACGTATATACATATATTTTCACCTTCAGGATTCACAGATTTCTCCAACTATCACTTAATTCAGATAACCAACATCTTACATGTTCCAGACAATATTAATAGGCACTTCCAAAACAGAGGCTCCTTGCTTCAAATGGTTTGTGAAATATCACATATGTTTTATCTTCCTCTTACAGTTTTACATTGCCTGTTTGCATATTAAAAACTCTGAGAAGCTGTTCAATATGAGCTGTTCAATATGATGATGATTGTGCTGCTTTACTAAATCTATTTTTCTTAAAGTTCGAGACATGCCAAAACACATACAATGTATTACTTAGTTGAATTTATTAATGTATATGAATTTGGTAATATGTACAAATGCAAATTCTCAGCAGGAGATTGAACCAGGATGAACCAGTTTGAATCCCGGATAATCAATATTAAGGTACAACCTAATACTACAAATTGTTGTTATTAAGTGCTGTGGAGTCAATTCTGACTCATAATCACCTGTATAGGATTTCTGAAGAGTGGCTGGTGGGTAGTTATTGTTGTTAAGTGCCGTCTAGTCCGTTCCAACTCATAGAACAAAACACAATGCCTGGTACTGAGCCATGCTCACAACTGTTGTTACACTTGAGCCCATTGCTGCTGACACTGTGCCAATCCATCTCATTGGGGGTCTTCTTCTTTTTCACTGACCTACTTTATACCAAACACAATGTCCTTCTCCAGAGAATGCTCTCTCCTGATAACATGTCTGAAGTATGAGAGAGAAGTCTGACCATCCTAGCTTCTAAGGAACATTCTGGCTGTGCTTCTTCTAACACAAGTTTGCTTGTTCCTCTAGCAGTCCATGGTACTTGTGATATTCTTCTCTAATATCATAACTTAAATGCATCAATTCTTTGATCTTCCTTATTCACACTCCAGTTTTCACATGCATATGAGGCTATTCAAAATGCCAGATCTTGGGTCAGGCACACCTTAGTCCTCAAACTGACATCTTTGCTCTTAAACACTTGAAAGAGGTCTTGTGTAGTAGATTGGCTTACTGCAATACATCTTTGATTGTTTTCTTGACTGCTGCCTCCTTGAGTATTAATTGTGGATCCAAATAAAATGAAGCCTTTGGCAACTTCAATCTTTTCTCCTTTTTATCGTGATATTATTTATTGGTCCAGTGGTGAACACTGTTGTTTTCTTTACAATAAAGTGCAACCCCCTATTGAAGACTGTGGCCTTCACTCTTCATCAGTAAATGTTTTACACCCTCTTCACTTTCTTCAATCTAGGTTGTATTATCTATCTGCCTATATCTGCAGGTTGTTAATGAATCTTCCTTCAGTCCTGATGTCAAGTTATTCTTCATATAATTCAGCTTCTTGGATTATTAGCTCAGCATACAAATGAACAAATATGTTGAAAAACTACATTCCTAGTGCACACCTTTCCAGATTTTAAACCATTCAGAGTCTCCTTGTTCTATTCAAATAACTGCCTCCTGGGCTACATACAGACTCCTCACAAGCACCATTAAGTGTTCTGGAATAACCGTTCTTCACAAGATTATTCACAGCTTTTTAGAATCTACGCAGTTAAAAACTTTGCATAGTCAATAAAGAGCAGGTAAACATCTTTCTGGCATTCTCTGCTTTTAGGCAAGATCCATCTGACCTCAGCAATGATATTCTTAGTTCCACATTCTTGTCCTCTGATCTCTGCTACTGGGTTGTTGTTAAGCGTGGTGGAGTTGGTTCTGACTCATAGCAACCCTGTGTAGGGTTTCCAAGGAGAGGCTGGTGAGGAAACCCCTGACCCTGTGGTTCAAATCCACCTGAGTAGTGTTTATATCACAGTGCCACACCAGGACTCCTGCTGCTGGTAGGTAGAGTCCTGCTTTACCCCTACTGCCAAACCATCTTTCCTTTAGTTGGTAAAGATTTGCATGACACTGCCTTAAACTTTGCAGTTGCAAACTGGAAACCAGATTATTAACAGGTTTATTCTCACTGCTCCCCCCACATGAATGAAACATTTGTTTTAAATCTTTTTTTCTTTTCACTTAATCTCATAAATCTACTGCTTGCAAAAACAAAACATAACCAAAACTGCTATCTTGACCCAACTCACTACTATTTGGGAGAAAGTCTTACTCCTTTTGTTCTACTTTCCAAGTCAGCCTCTCACCTCTCCCTTATTAGTATGCTTCTCCTTTGACTTGGTAGTCTTCAGCATCTTGTCTTCAGGAAGCGCCTTTGTCTTTCTCCTTTGACAGTGTAAGCAAATGTGTATCAAAATGTTAGTAACATTGCCCTTCTGGGACAAAACTGATTTTTTAACATAGAACAGTTCTTTCATCTAGCAGGACTGAATTTTGCATAGTGTAATTCCACCAACATGTTGTTGTGAAGTGCCATCAAGTCGGTTCGGACCCATAGCAACCTTGTATAGGGTTGCCAAAGAGCGGCTGGTGAGCTTGAACTGCCAGCCTTGTGGTTCAAACTGGCTTTACAGTCCAGTGTATTAACCCACAGTGCCACAGCAGGACTCTTCACCAGTGTGTGGGTGCATTTCTAGTTACACACGCTACAGTGGCACCCTTACATACTGAGTCTTCTGGCAGGCTTAGGGAAATATGTAAAACTCTTTTTGCAATGGTAAGCGTGGCCAGCATGTTGAACCCACTGAGGAGTTTCACAGGAGAAAGACTTGGCGATCTGCTCCTAGAAAACCCTATGCTGTTGTTGTTGTTATGTGCCATGGAGTCGGTTCCAACTCATAGCAACCTGCACAGGGTTTCCGAGGCTATAAATCTTTACGGGAGCAGAAAGCCTCATCTTTCTCCCGCAGAACATCTGGTAGTTTCGACCTGCTGATCTTGCGGTTCGCAGCCCGATTTCGTAACCACTATGCTACCAGAGTAAGAAGTTAAACTATAATGGGATCACTGTGAGTTTAAATTGACTCCAAGGCACTAGACAGCAACAATGATATGCACTGAACTTGAAGGGATGACTGATAAAGAGAATACAAAAAGTCATTGTCTTTAATTGGGGAAACTACACTAGTGCTAAGTAACAGCTTCTTTGTACGAATTCACATGAAAATCTACCTATTCTTTGATGTGTAGATGTAACTTTGGTGGCCCTGCATAAAATAGCTTTCAGAACTCTTATCAGCTGCTCTATTTAGTTTCCAAACACTGATAATCATAATTTATTCAGCTCTTTAAAATACCCACTGGTATGGCACCATAGGATAATAAGCACTAGACCTCAAGGTCAGTTTGAACCTCAAGGTCCTCAGTTCAAATTTACCAGCCGATCCTTGGAAACCCTATACAACATCCCTATGAGTCTGAACCGACTTAAAAGCACTTAACAACCACCAGTGAAGGAGTCTCTGGGTGGTACAAAGAGTTAGCTGCTAACCACTGCTAACCAAAAGGTTAATGGTTTCAGTTTACCCGGAGATTCTTTGGAAGAAAGCCCTGGTAATTTACTTTTGAAAAGTTATCCATAGAAGAACCTATTCTGAACCATGTGGTATAGTTCTCCAAGAACTAGAATTGGCTCAAGGGCCACTGAATTATTCTGCCTTCTGTAACCTGTCTCTTCAGAGTCCCTGCTTGATACTGCCTGTATATATGAATGGTCTCAAAGATAGCCACCTAAGTAGTAATCTGGTGCCTGTCTTTTCTTTCTCCGAAGGGGTTCGTCTTGACAGAGTACGTGGAGGTCGGCAGAAGTACAAGCGCAGAATAGATGCGGAGAACAGCCCATACCTGAACCCTCAGCTGGTTCAGCCAGCCAAAAAGCCATGTAAGTATAGCAGATATGGCTGGCTCCCAACACACAGATTCCTCCCAGCTGGCTCTGTGTACATCAGCTTTGGCATGTCCATCCCTTCCTACTCCAAGTCCAAGGAGATTTTTCTTGGTTGGGGACTGTGGCTTTATTCCTTGCCTATAAAGAATAACAGCAGCTTGACTAATTATCTTTTTTTTTTTTTTTTAATGGTTTCTATGGTTTTCTCTGTCTTACCTTTTTTCACCTAGTCCCTTTGTTGAAGCATAAGCATATTAATGCATAGCTTATCTAGTGTGGATTTTACATTTACTGGTTATCTTTATTTTCAGAGGTACATAAAATGGATCATACTGTGATCATTAGTTCATTGGAGCTGTTAGTTTCAGATTTCACAAGAAAGTGATTTTTGTAGTTTTCACTAACTAAATGAGTTTGACTGCTCAACCTCCCAATGAAAATACATTAGGGGCCTCATTAATTTGGAGCTATAGAAGGTTAACACAGTAGCTAGCAATAGATTAAAACAGGAATGGGTCCCACTAATAACAAGCATAGGTTGGTGGTTCCATCTCAGATACCCTTACGGGCATTATGAACTGTTTTTAAAGAGTCCATGATTTTATGATGCCAGGTTGCAATTTGAAAGGATGGTTGGTACATTGCTAATGTAAGCCCCATTCTCTTTGTCGTTAACTAAAAAGAGCTGGAATATAGATTGAGGCAATAACTGTATCCCATTTTCTGAAAAAAATCAGTTAATAGCTGTAGTGCAACAGAGCTAACATTTTAGGATGCTTATGCATAGAGTTCGTATTAGACACTTAGAAGTGCTTTGGTGGAAATCATTCTCACATTTAGCTAGCTTGGTCTCAGACAACACAGCCCACAGCCGGCATTCATCAGAGGAAGTCACATCTCTAATAGTTCTAGAAAAGACCTGGGTGATTTTTGATACACGTGCTTCAAGGGGGAAAGGTCTCTGCTTCTAGTTCCAGTTCTCCAGGAGGGGTCACTGCTGTTTATCAGATATGTAAGCATATGGGGGGATCTGTTAAACAAATAAAACAGACCCTGAACTGTAAATGAAAGGACATTTTAGCTATGTCAAAGGAAGAGCAACCCATTTTACATAAAATTAAAGCTTGAGTGAACATATGGCATAGTTTCCTTTTGCCTTTCCAAAAAGCATTATGTTGATTATACCTTCAATTGTCTAATCTGGAATCTTCTCCTCAGCCTACATAAACTGTTTGGCATTCTACAAATACAATCTAGGACTGCATTAAGCAGATTTTGCACATTACAATAAGAAACTTTCTGATAATGCAATAAAATGCAATAAACACTAATGCTTAATTTCACTGGAGGTTTAGTATTTGCTGGATTCTACAATATACAGGCTGCCCATTTCTCATTTATTTTTATCCGGACATTGATAATTTCCTCTACTGAAAACCATGTGTAAGACTTTACAATAGAGGAATGTCTACAGTTTCCGCTTCTAAACCTGAAAAATTGGAAAAGTGGCTTGGCCGGCACCTTTAAGAAGATTACGGCAATTTCAGTGAGCTTCATTTGTCTAAGATAAAGAGGACTTCTAATAAATCATTACTCATTATCTAAAGGCCTCTGTGTTAATTTTCCTTAGTCTATCCAATTAGTGTGTTTTTGTAACAAACATTTATAAAACTTAATTTTCAGATCCTGTCAGTTAAGTGTCTAGAGACGGTACATGGACTTTTCTGAGAAAATGGCTGGGGAGATTTCTGGACCCTGACTGATTATGTGTGTGTACTACAAAGGGCCAAGAATGAAAATTGGGTTCTATTGATTCTAATTAGTGAAACATTAAATAAGATTTACCTAGAAACTGCTGCTGGCTATTCCATTTCCCAAATGATGGAGATTTCTAAGCTTCAACCAAATTTCTCTGATCCTTCACGTCAAGTACCCATTGACTTGTGGTAAAACAGGAGCGTATTTCCTGTACTAAAGTAACGAGAATCAAGACACCCTTTGGTTACATTTGTGCCCTTTTCTTAGTACAGTTTCTTCTAATACTGAGAATCCAATGGTTGCTGACAGGTTTTGCTGCTCTGTCAAAGCAATGGAGGTTGAAACTTTATCAAGAGTGACTTAAAATATAGATGTTTTCCTATAGCAAATATAAGAAGCACATGTCCTTCTTTGCGATCCAGCAAATGAAGACCAATATTTCTTTGTAATTTTTAATTTTTTTTCTAGGAAATAGAGTGTTTAGGAGTATTTCCTCCTCAAATTTACCTTTTCAGTTTGATGATAATTGAATATTATTGCCAATGATTCCTTATCTGTTCATTATCTGCATTGGTTATAATTCACGTGGCAACCCTACATTTTTGGAATATGATTGCTTAGAAAAAGAACTAATGGTGTCTTGGATACATTTGCTTTTCATTTCATGAAAGGAGTCTAAATGAACACTATGTTTTAAGTTTCAAGATCTATGAGGTCTTTTCATTTGGGGTTAAAAAGTTAAAATTTTAAAGTGAAAGACAGATGATCTAATAACTTACAGTGGAAACTTTGGCTTTATTCCCAAAGTTTCCACTCAACTCCTTACTTTTCTAGGGTACTATTACACAGAGCATTTTAAATATGTTGGTTTATTCTTTCTCATTCATAGCTTTTCATTTATAAGAAAATATAAAATCTTAAGCTACACATAGAAATTGAAAAGAGAGCCAACTAGAAAAATCATTCTGTTAGCCAGGCTTTACAACCCTTTCCATAAACTCTCACATGCCCCTGAGCAATAAAACACATTGGATGTGATGCTTTCCATTTATCTCCAGTGTTTATTTTATGAAGAATTTTTAAAACATATATCACCAATTTCAGACAGATAAATCTGAACCAGACAATGGAGTTAAGACAGCGGATGAAAATAGAGGATTAAAGAATTAGACACTGAGAGAAGAAAAGATTGTAGCATTTAAGCAGGAGTATTTTTCTGGATTCCAATAGTGGCTATATTTGGAAGGTTGGGTGAGTGTGTGTGTGTAGGGGGCGGGGAGAGGAAGCAAAGACATTCCTATTTAATGCACCCCACAGAGATAGAGTTATATAGTCAGTAATTCACCCAGGCAGAAGGATTCTGACCTTTGCTCTTCTTTAAAGGAATTAAGACAATTAATGACTCTCATACGCATGATGAGGATGGCATTAGTAGTTCTTTGCCTCCCACACCACATTCTATGTTTCAATGATTCATTTGCAGATTTCTGTTTTAAAGCTGTTGTATACCATTTAATTCCGTTTCCCAAAATCCCACTTAAGAATCCAAAAGCAAACCAGAAAGCATCTAACTTCTCTTATCTATTTACTATCAAACTTTTTCATTACAGGACAGATGCTTCATTCAGCAAAGGCAGGTAGAGCAAAGAAGAAGAAAAGGAATCCATTCTGTTGCTACTGTTGTGACTTACTTTTTGTTGTGGGTTTTACTGAACTCTTAATATGTATGTACATACTGAACCATAAATGGGATGTTTGGGTTTATCATAAGCAGTTTGACATCCTGTTTCAAAACACAGAATACTTTAAGGTTTGTAAAAATGGGATGATACTACTAGTGATCTTGTAGTGCTCTGGTCTGATCCTGCAGATAACAAGATTGTCTCACATTTGTTGGTGGCTGAACCGGAGAAGATCTATGCCATGCCTGACCCTACTGTCCCCGACAGTGACATCAAAGCCCTCACTACACTGTGTGATCTGGCTGACCGAGAGTTGGTGGTTATCATTGGATGGGCGAAGCATATTCCAGGTACATTTTCCAAATACAAAAGAAAACAAAAAAAGAAAAGGCTGCAATTCATTTCCTAGGGTATATATATAAGTAGAAGGAGGCATGTTCAGAATTTTTTCATTAAGATTTCTTTTACATTTGCATTTGTTTTTATCATATTCCAATTCAGAGCTTTGCTGTTGCAAATAGAATTAGAAACCTATCTGTATCTGTACCACTTAGAACTTGCGTTAATGATTTTTTTTTTTCCTCCTTATATGGAGGTACTGTTGCCAAAGTAGTATAAAAAGAATACCACTTTTTAATAAAAAGCACCATTTTTAGAATTTTCTTCAAACACCTGTGCTTTCTCCTAAAGGAAATGTATTTACTTTTTCTTTTTACCTTAAAAAGGTATTTTTCTGTGTCATCAGTGGTCTTTTTCCTTTTAGAATCATTCATTTATTGTTCATGGTGGTTATCTATACTAAATTGCTATGCATATTCACAGCTTTGCTTTAACTTACAATGAAATCTTTACTGTGAGTTTACATATATAAACAAACTTTAAATTGACATGGTAGGTTTTTTGCATGATAATTATAAGTGACAATTTTTAAATTTCCTGTAAAAATATGTTTTTTTCTGGACTCATCCTGTAATATCAGTAAGCATGAACTTGGATCACATGTTTTGAGAATATTTTTAATATTGTTCATGGATTAAGTTTTTTTGTTTGTTTCTTTCTTTCTTTGAACTTTGGTCTCCAAATAGTTTATAAACAAGTTTTCGAGTGATGAAGCAGTGCTTCTCTGGTACAGTTAACTTATTTCTGTCTCCTTAAACTAGTTTGTCTTTATGCTTTGAATGCTACAGTAATTTCTTTAATCAAATTGATGGAAGTTCCTTTCCCAGCCCACACTGAAACCAATTTATTGGTCATGATACGCCAGCTATGTTGCTAACAGTCGTAACGAACTGTCAGGCGATATCGCAGTGAAGCTAATTTGAAGTCATTAGGTGTGCAGCGTTCAGGCGACAATTTGTTACAGTGGTTAGGAACACAGCTGACATTTCTGAATGGCTTTGTTCGGTGCAGTTCTAGATGAGGCCAAGCAAATTGTAAACTAATTTAAACATCACTCTATATTATACCAGCTACTTTGTCTTACACTGTTTGCTAATAAAGCACCCCAAATTAAGTCAAAACTAGTTAAATAGGTGAGCTTGAGTGTGTTCTTTAGAAGCTGCCTACACCAGGATTACTACATCTAAGAGGAGGATGAGAATTTGATCGTGTGCATAGCTGATGACTGCATTGGGCTAAAATCACATATATGTGACCTTTAGAAAAAGCAAAAGCAAAAAGTCTGCATTAAAAGATGTTTAGGTACTGTGAAAATGAGAACAGTCAGAATTTGCTGAAACAATAGATAAAAATGTATATGGAAGGGAAGTGTTATTGAAGTGGTTTTAGAGCAGAAAGGGGAAAAAAATTAGCAATTGTTGAAGTATCCAAGACCCTAGTTTATATTTGTTATTATGTTAATATATTTTTATGTATGTCTATGTATACTATATATAATTATCCATGTTTTGAATATAAATGGAGTCTTCCATATATCTATCTGTCTATATCTATCTATTTCTATCTATCTATCTATCTATCTATCTATCTATCTATCTATCTACACACACACACAGAGATATTTGGAGTCCTGATGTGGCACTGTGGGTTAATGTGCTGGACTGCAACTTAACAACCACAACAATGACTCGACCGCACTTAACAACCGCAACAGTATATATATATATTTGTGTGTATATGTTGCTGTTAAATGCTGTCTGAGTTAGTTCCAGACCCTATATAGGGTTTCTGAGGAGCGACTGGTGAGCTTGAACCGCTGACTTTTTGGTTCAAATGGACCTTGTAGTCGAGTGCTTATCCTACAGCACCACACCAGAACTCCTATATAAATATGTATGTAATATACATTTGATGTTGTTAAGTGCCATTGAGTCGATTCTGACCCATAGAGACCCTCTGTAGGGTTTCCAAGAAGTGACTGGTAAGCTTGAATCACCGACCTTATGGTTCAAACCGACTTTGCAGTCCAATGCATAACCCATAAACATACATATATTTATTTTGTTGTTGTTAAGTGCTGTTGAGTCAGTTCTGACTCACTAACCTGTTATAGAGTTTCCAGGGAGCAGCTGGTGTGTTTGAACTGCTGACCTTGTGGTTAGCAGGTAGGTTTGAACCATGGACCTTATGGTCAGCATTCAAGTACTTTATGCTACAGTGCCACACCAGGATATATGCATAATACATATATACATACATACATACTTTTTTTTTT